ATGGCCAAACCATCTCACCTGTTGCTCTTTCATGAATTGTATGACCAATTTCAGCCCTAGATAGATGCATACTATAGAAGGTATACATCATATAATGAAGCACACAAACATGAATCCTACTGAGTAAAATGCACAAATCACATAGCTGATTGTCTCACCAAGGTAGGTACGTTTGTTTGCACAATATGATGTACGTATATACACAATTGACAGGGATTTTGTCTTCAAGGTAATTTATTAGACACAGAACTAGTGTGTTCTGAAACACACTGAGGTCGTTACAATATGCATGGACTGTCCAGTGTTATACATCATCATCAATTGTCTTGCCAAATTGCATGGGCGATTATGTCTCTCCACCATCTGCTCTCTTCAACAGCATTTATTGGCGTGTGTCCTGACACCCCTCCATGACGTAACAAAAAGCTGTCAAGAATCTTCTCATGTTGTCCTCCTCTGTCTCTTTTCCCACAGAGCTTTCCAGTGTTCACAGCATGTACCAGTTGCCTTCTTCTCATAACACTGCTAAAAATAAAAATTAAGACTATCATCTTTCTGATATTTGACATAAGTTGTTTTCTGGCCTTCACCTCTTTCAAAACATCTAGATTGTCCATTCTGGTTCTGAATGTGCATGGAATTTTATCTGTCTGTTAAGCAAGCAATCAGAAATGAAAAGATTAGATGAAAATTGCCATGGTGTAAAAAGAGCCGTAAAACAATGGCCATGTTATCTGGGTATTTCAGTCAGAACGCTTTTTTTTTAAAAATAAATGGTATAATATATTGTTTTGTCTTCATTAAAATTGGCAACGACGACTGGAAAACATTGCGTTTAGAACAACATAATGTAAAACAAAGAGGGCATAAGAGAAGTAACAACTCTTCAATATGAGTTAACAAGAAAAATTTTCACTTACAATTATTTATACATAAACATGTAAATACAGTAATCAATAGGGAGCATTACTAATCCATTTTACTCAAGTCAGCCATCTGTCATGTTTTAAAGAAAGCAAGTGGACACTGCAAAAACAAAGAACATCAACTGTAATAATGCAGTGAAAGTGTCAGTAGGTGGCTTATCTCTGTCAGTATCACAATGAGATATAAAAGTGAAGAAATAATCATTCTGAAAAATCATTAATGCATTACTTTCAAAGTGTCAAAAAACAGTTATAGTGACCAATGGGGAGGTCATATTTCTTTAGTATGTTCTGACCAAATGTTATAAGTAAAAGAGCACATTATAAAAGAACACATTATACTATGGAGGAAAATCAAGGTATAGTCACTTACACACCAGGCATAGCTTGGGAATAAAGGAGTTATGTTTTAGGCCCAAAAGCTAAACATTTCAAATCTCAGTACTAGGTTGGGAAAGTTTACATCATTGTTTATCTCTCAGGTAGTCAGACCGGAAATGCAACTTTTCTAGGAAAGGGGTGAAAAGCAGGAGGTTCCATATACAAGTTGCACATATTAACAATCTGGTCAAATGTTAGCATTACAAACAGCAGACAATAGGGCCACTGCCCTGGTAAACTTGTTAGGTAATGCTACCTACAGTTAAGTAATGGCTATTACTTTTGACAGAATTGGTCTGGAGGAATTAATTTACACAAATTTGTGCTGAAGTTGGACCTGATTGCTTCCAAATTTAAAACAGTAAAGAGGGAATAACTCTAATTATTATTTTAACTCCATCAGTCCCATACAAATATCAAATTAATTTATTCAGTACCAGAGTGTTATTATGTGAAATAGTAACTGCAAGTGTAAAACAGTATTAATTAATAATAATAAATACTCTGTTTGGGTGGGTGGGTGTGTGTGTGTGAGAGAGAGAGAGAGAGAATGAGAGAGACATTAACAATAAAAACAGTAATAATTAATAGGGATAGTAAAACAGTCTTTAAAAAATGAGGCTATCCTCCGACTAACGGTCGGCAAAGATGGCGGCGGCAAAGTATCCAGCCGAGCCGCGGTCACGGGTCATTGCGCACTTGGGGTCACGGGTCAATTGCGCACTTCTGGCTACTTCATGTGCGCTTTTCCAGCGACAATGGCTACCGCCACATGGGTCCCACGCTAGGACTCACGAGCAAAGCTGCAGGAGATGCAGAAGCTGCTGCTCGTGAGTCCTAGCCATCTAGTTTAGCCCCAATCCACGCCGCGTGAGGGCCACATGGCGGTAGCGGTTGTTGGCGGAAAAACCGTCGGAAGACCGCAAATTAAGTAGCCGGAAGCACGCAATGACCCGTGACCGCGGCTCGGCTGGATATTTTGCCGCCGCCATCTTTGCTGACCGTTTGTCGGAGGATAGCCAAAAATGAAACCAAAAATACTGTGTAAATGTTACAATCAACAAGAAAAAACACACAAAATGACAAAAAAACATAACTTACTTTAATATTATAGGGGGTCCAAGAAAATTATTGTACTGACTTAACAATGCTGCAGAGACATGTACTTAGGAAACATATCACACGAAAAACATTGTGAAAGATGTGATTTATGAAAATGAAGTCGCTAAAATAATTACAAACACATGACTAAAGTTGACATTTAAGAAAATTTGGTGGTTAAAATAATTACAGAGCATACCTGGGAATTATAACGTATAACAGCCCAATCTATATTGATAATAAACACGTGAATATGAATGAGTTTAATTCTTCCTGGCATGGAAATATTTAAAATACTTGATTGGACTTTTATCCCTTCTTGCAGCTTAATATGCTGTATTTAATTTATAAAAATGGCTTATGAATGCCTCTTTCATAAAAACTAGTTGCTGTATTATCTCTAAAATGAAGATTGGTTGAAGTGCACAGATTTTTCACAAATAGTAACCTCATTATGAAAAAATACAAATTAGTATCAATAAGCATTCACTTGTGTAAAATATTTTTAAAAGTTACATCTTACAAGATAAAATTTTTTTGTTTAGGAAATCAGCAAGGTAATTGTTAATACACTGATGTGTACAAATTGAAATATGTCAGATGGACACATGAAGAATGTTTTAATGAAGCCATGTAGACATACCTCACAAACCCCGAGAACACGTTTAGCTGATAACATGTTTAAATAAGAACATGTTTAGCTGATAACATGTTTAAATAAGAACATGTTTAGCTAAGGACATGTTTAGAAAAGAACATATTTAGCTAAGGACATGTTTAGCTGATAACATGTTTAGGTAAGAACAGCAATAAATATGTTTAGCAGAGGACATAGCTCAGGACACATATAGCTGAAGAAATGCTAATCTGAGGCCATGCTCAGATGGTGACATTCACAAATTAAAACATACTTAGTGAACATCCTTAACTGATGACATACATAGCTGTGAGTATGTTTAACTGAGGACATACATAGCTGTGGGTATGTTTAACTGAGGACATACATAGCTGTGGGTATGTTTAACTGAGGATATATACAGCTGTGTGATGTTTAACTGAGGACATGTACAGCTGTGGATATGTTTAACTGAAGACATACATAGCTGTGCGGCGCGGGGGGTACTGTCGGCGGTGCAGCATAGTCGCAGAAACAGGTCCGCAATTATCATATCGCTGAAACCTTGTTAGAGCATTTGTTTCATTATTCGGAGCCGATCCTAGTTTTGCCGCGATTTGTTCCTTGGCAAAAAGTCCGCATTTTACACACGACTGAGGCCCTGTTAGGGTATTTGCTTGGCCGCCATAATATCGGGTAGAAGTTCGGAGGAGAGCCGAATTTTGTGTAAAACAGATTCAATATAAAACATAAAACAGTACCAGTTTTTCACAAGGAACAGTGATGGGTGTTATGTGTGATTTCTGTTAGTACAGGAATGGAGCAATTAGGACGGGGAGGAGGGTGGGGGAGGGGTGCTGTTTGTTGTGAGGTCAGAACTGTAAGTAACTAGTTAACTAATTATTTCAATTCAGGATTATTAAAGATTAATAAGGGTTAAATGAGCAAGAATGAAAGTCAATTTACAATAAACACAATAACTATCATTCTAGTAGAAGGAAGTTTCTTTCATTATTTTGGCAAGATTTACATGGGAGGAAAATAATAGTTACAATGAATATCAATAACTGTAACATAAATCTTTCAACAACATGCTCCAGTTCATCATTTACAAATAAACTTAATGTTTGATATGGGGAAGTAATGTTTGATATGTGGATGTAATGTTTAATATGTGGATGATACAAATACTTACAGTGATGTATGTTTGCCCAATAGTGTAATATAACAATTATTACATATAAATGATATAAAATATTAGAGGAATAAATATGATACATAAAACAAATCTACAATATTGTGTACTATAATGAAAAAGAAACTGCTGCAAATGCATGAAGGCATAATCTGTAAGTACAAAATATACTCCATTTGGATACAGATAAAAAGGAACAGATATAAATGTAACTGATTTCTTATAACAGAATGTATAGATTCCTGCTTTAACACTCTTCACATGTTTTTGCATCTACACAATTAATTCCTGCAATAACTCTTTCACATATTTCTGCACAGACAGTTAATTCTTGCAATATTACTTCACATATTCCTGCACCTACACAATTAATTTTTGCAATAACTGATGTTTCTGGACAAACACAGTTAATTCTCGCAACAACTCTTTGTATATTTCTGCACAAACATGGTTAATTCTCGCAATAACTCTTCGTATATTTCTGCACAAACACAATTAATTCTCGCAACAACTATTCGCATATTTCTGCACAAACAGTTAATTCTCACAAAAACAGTTTGCATATTTCTGCACCTGTACAATTAATTCTTACTCTTCACAAATTTCTTCACACAGACAATTAGTTCTCATGGTAACCAATTTAAAAAAAAAAAGATGGCCTCCAGGGTTTACTGTAGATCATGTAAGACTAGATAACCAAACACTGCTGTTGGCTTGAGGGACGTGTCCTCAACAGCTGGGTCTAGTTTCCGTCATGACGAGGAACCCCTTGGCCAAAAAGTCAGATGTTGGGCAGGTGGTCAAACCGTGGTTTTGGTTTGTTTCCTGCCTGGTACTTGGGGTTTGGTAAGGGGGAGCTTGGGTTTGCTGCTGGTCCCATAGGCAGTCCTGTTAGCTGAGGGAGGGGCTGAAAAGGCTGCAGATGAAAGCAGATGTTAACTCATTAATGCTTTCAGTACTGTTCAACTCACTAATGGCAGGACTGTAGTGGCACAGCTTTCAGATGCCTGCCTGCCAGCCTGAAGGTCTAGGGAACAAATCCATATTGAGGCAGATTTTTATCTCAAACTGACATTAGCTCCCAGGTCAACCCAAGGAACACATCACATGCTCATGGTTAACTACCCGAGGCCCAATCAGTGCGATACGTGTGCAGTTTTTAATTTACCACTGACCAGTATAAAATGTGAAGCGGACAATTTAAACTTTCTTTGTCTTCAATAACACAGTTGACCATTAGGTTTATTTGGAAACGTGGTTAAAAGCCTAAAATATAGTATGCTTTGTGAGCTTTACCGAGTTGCTGAGTGTTTGAAAACAATATGGCTACCGTGCAGTCTTCTACATGCAAGCTAACATGATTTATGGCTTTAGAAGTCTTAAATTTAAATAAAACATGTTTATCAGATTTATCCAAAGTTAGATGGAGAAAGTAGCAAAGCAGATTTGTTTCAATCATTTATAGGATTAAACTTAAATCAGGGATAATTCTAACATCTACCTCATGGAAAGCATACACAATAACAAAACCCCCTTGTACAAAAAGAATAAACATTAGTGAAAAGGCAATTTCCCTCAGTGTCAGTTAGTTATAGTGCTATTCCCCTTATTTAGGAATATAGCTATAGAATTACAGGCAAACTGAGGGTTATATAAACTTTGTTTGTGTGAAGATACTAATTGTGATGTTCTAAAAATGTATCTGGAACAAGATCTAGAGTGCAGATTGTTTTTATATTTTATTTATACATTTCTAAGTCATCAGTTTTTGTTATGCCTAGTTGCACATGAGGCTTCAGAGAGGACTTTCCATGCTTTCCTGCCCTGTGCAATCTTCAATGAAGTTTTCCATGTCAAAGATGCCACACTCAGGTCACTTTCCATTGTTCGTCTCCATGTTGTTTTTGGGAGCCCCTTTTTTCTCTTTCCCTTTGGTATCCATGTGAGAGCTGTTTTGGTAGGTATATCAGGACTCATTTTCATAATGTGGCCAAGCCATTTCTATCTTCTCTTGGTTATCATACTGTCTATAGTTTCTTGGACTTGAAGTAGTTAAGTGTTTGAGATTGTATCTGACCAGAAAATTTTGATAATTCTATGTAGACATGTGTGGTGGAAGGTGAACAGCTTGTGTGCATCCTTTCTGATCATTCTCCAGCATTCCGCTCCATAAAGAAAAACTGGCAAAATGATGCTCTTGTAGAGTCGAAGTTTTGTTCCTCTGCAGTAACTGTTGGATTTCCAGATTTGCCTTATCCTTCCAAAAGCAGCTCTAGCTTTGTTCAGGCATGAATGTATGTCTTCTTCGGTCCCTCTTAGTAGGGACACCACACTGCCAAGATATGTGAAATGTTCTACATTTTCAAGTGTTTGGTTACTGGTTGTTGGTTTGAACTGTTTGTCATAATCTTAGTTTTCTTTGTATTTATTCACAGTCCCACCATTTCTGCTGTGCTGTGAAGTCTGTTACTTTTTTCTTGTATATGTTCATGTTTATGTGATAGGAGTGCTATATCATCTGCAAAATCATTGAGCATTGTGAATGGAGTCCATCGTATGCCTCTCATTGTCTTGTCCACTGTGTTCTTAAGTATCCAATCCATCACAAGGTTGAAGAGGAGAGATGACACAACACATCCCTGTCTTTTCCTTTACTGGGAAAGATGTATTGTAATTTTTTATACTGCAGGAAAAGTCTTTAAAGAAGAGAGCAATTATGTTGACTATCTTTTCTGAAATTCCATGTCATACAAATTTTCCTACAGACCGTCTCTATGGACGCTGACATTACTAAGTGGTTCATGTTCATCTGCCATCCATTTTACTGATCTCTCTAAACATGCTGTATGTTTATTTATTTAATCTTTAACTACTAATACAATTTACTTATTATTGCAGTACTGTAATATTGCTGCTCAACAAGTGGGTCATGAACAGGGAGACAGATTAGCTGGATCTGCACCACTGGGTCATAAATTTATACATGACAAGGTAGATGTGGTCAAGGCCCTTTGGAAACAAGCAACGGAATCAGTAGAGAAAGAAGATTATTATGGCCTGGAGAGAATGAGGCACCTAGGTGTAACCAGAGGGTCTGGCCAGTTCACTACACTCACAGGAAAGGCAAGACGGACATATATCAAGATTGTGACCAGTACCATCAGTATTGGAACTCCGCACTGGCTGCTGAAGATGAGGACAGAGCACGCATGGGAATGCACTGAGTGCAGTGATGTCAATTCTTGACTCAACTCCTCAACAATTACTCGTCATTTTGCTGGCATGGCAGCAAAATTAGAATGCTCTGTTTTAATGTGTTACACTTGTAAAATTGACAAATGACATTACCACCCTTGGGCCTTTGATGCTAAACCCCCTGTGCCAGAAAGTGTTAATCACTCTATTCTATAACTGTATTATGTCAACTCAGTAAGACCTCTAAAGGTCATGTATTACTGGAGCCCATAAAGTAAACAAACAAAAATACCTTTTTCCACGCCTTTAAAACCTACTGGGAATATAAGGCTGGACCTAAATTTATAGAGACCAATCGACACTTGGTGGGCGATGTAGTCAGCATCATGCCAGCCGCCTTTACTTCCCAGGACTGCACCTGGTACCCTTTAAAGGCTGGGTCGACCTGGGAGTCAAAGTCATTTCTGAAAAAAAAAGTCTGACTCCGTCAGGCACTAACCCATGACCTTCTGTTTGGCAGGCGAGCATCTAGCCACGAACGCCACTGCAACTCCCACTGGAGTCTATAGGGAAAACAAAAGTGTGCCGTAATAAGAACCTTCTGATAATGATGAACTGAACCTACAACCTTCAGAAAGCAAGGTAAATCACTTGACCACTTCACCACAGAGACCCCAGAACCCATTTCACACATTCAGACAACCTGTCTGCCAAAACACTGATCACCAGAATTAAAACTCAATGTTTCCTTGTTATTCAAAAGTTCACAGGAAAAAGACATTGTATTCTTGTCTCAGCTGATGGACAAGGGGGTGCAACCTGAAGCTCCAAGAAACAAACATTTCACCAAAAGGACAAGATGTTTAATTAACACAGAACCAGCATCATCAGTCATTTTACTCTTGTGGAGCTTCTGAGAAAAAGAAAAGAGCAACTATGGATCTGTCCTGAAGGGCTATGAGGATAATCTTTACTAATCACTGATAACAGGCAAAAGGAATGGCTTTACTCCGCCTGGTTTTATACACATTGCTGATTATCTCTGCACACAGTGGCTGGTCACCCATGAAAGAAATACATATGGGACAAACACTGGTTCCAGCAACAACCTCCAGCAATCTTAGAAACCACTGCTACTTATAACTGAAAGACGGGAATCTGAAATCTAATTCTTAGCATTTACCGACTAAACTCTAGCAGAAAGTTCTGGTTGTTTGCCCAATTCTGGACTTTTTTCCTTTTCCAGAACTTGAATTGTGTATGCACATCTGTTTTACAGATCTGGTTTATTTGTATGCATGCTGTTAGTTTCTTGCCTCTCAGGCAGACACTTTGACTTAGAAGAAAACAACCCCAATTAGTTGCATTATAAGACATGCTTGTCAGAGAGACAGTGGGTCTATGCTTATTTTCTCTGAAATGGAGCCCCAGAAACCACATGAGGAGAGTCTTAAATAAAACCTACAACCCTCAGAAAGTAACCTAAAGGACTCTATTTACACCGGTGGTACACAGGGCATATGATCCTAGGCTCACATTTTTATATACTAATCAGGAATTGACGAGTGATATGGTCAATATCATGCCAGCTATCTTTACTTCCCAGGACATTTCCCGATACCAATTTAAGGCTGGTACAACCTCAGAGCTAAGCTTTATTACTTTTTTTTTTAAATCTGTCTTGGTGTGAATTTGAACCCAAACCTTTAGGCTGGCAGGCAAGTACCTAACTACTGTGCTGCCATAGTTCCCATAACGTTCAGAGAATCAGGCAAAAAGCTCAACCAATTCACTATGGAGATCCCTTTTACAAGATTCACAAGCAACCAACCACTACAGTAAAATCATAGAAGTTAGAGAAATGTGCACAAAAAACCTTGGGGCTCACAGGTTATGAAAAGAACAAAGTCGAATTATGGGTAGGTTCCAGGACCCAGTGTGAGGGAAAAAAAAGAATAGATCCACACCCCCCCCCACACCCCCCCCCCCCCCCCCAACAAGCTTGTCATAAAAGTTTATCAATTAGGGGTGTTTACTTCAAAGTCTGGGTGCATCTTTCTGAGAGGCCAGAAATCAACAGTCTGCATACAAATAAGCACGATCAGTAAAATGTGCCTGCAAAACTCAAGTTCTGAAACAAGACTAAAGTTCAGACACTGATGAAAAACTAGAACTTTCCTCTAGAGACTACAGTCAGTTAACATTAAAAAGAGAAGAAGAAGAATGGGGGGTGGGGGGAGAACCAAAAAAATCAGAATAAACAGGACCTAGTACTTACCGCTGGGTAATTGCTAGCATGAGACTTGTTTTGAGCTTTTCTGGCAGTGGCATCAGGTTTATCATGTTTGTTTTTAGCAAACTCCAGCCCTGATTCTCTGTTGACATCCATGTATGGGTGCTGAATTAGTTCTGCACATGTCATTCTTTCCCCAGGATCCATCTTCAAACAGTTCTGTTAGATGTAATACTTGAATATACATTATCTGCTTTACTAAACATGATTTACAAACTTCTAGAGGAGAAAACATGCACTTTAATGGGGGGAGGGGGAATGGACTGAGGAGACACAGACATCTAAAACCCTAAGATGAACATTGAGAGAGATCCAAATGTTATGAGCTGGACTCCATCCATGATACTGAAACAACTGCACAGAATAGAATGAAGGAATAAACTCTAAGCCCTAAGTGACATATAACAGTATTCAAGAATGATGATGATAATAATGATGAAAGGAGAATAACACAATGTACACAGTGCAAGAGAAATACCACATTAGAGATAGTATGAAAGCATTACGAACAACCTAAGAGAAATAAAGACTCAAATAGTGTTTTAGAAGACCATCATACCACTGAAAAGCATTACATCTCCTCCAACACTTTACTGAAGTAAATGTTGGAGAAGAAAGGAGAAGGAGGAAGAAAATGCAGAGGAGGAGAAGAAGGAGGAAGAGAGATAGGAGTAAAATTCAGAGAAGGAGGAGAAGAAGAAGAAAAAGAAGAAGAGAATTCTTGCCTTATCAGCAAAAACAACAAGACTCCTTAGGCATGTTGGTATATGGTTAAACACCCCTTTTTCCATTTGTTCAATATAATGCTAAATGGGTGATGTGATAAACAACATATCATCCACCTTTACTTTCAAGAACATTTCCAGGTGCCCAAGTCAGGCTGAAGCAACCTAGGAATAACTGTCTTTCAATCTGCCTAAACGTGGATTCAAACCTATAACCATGACTGGCAGGCTAGCCAATGAGCTACTACAGCTCCACACTGATTCAGCACAGCAACAGGAAGCTAATGCTAGAGTCGTCTGAGAAAATTACCTCATTCCAATAACAATTATACACACATTTGCTTCTAACTCTGTAAACATTCACCAACAGTGTAATGGTAATAGTATACATATTTCACAGGATTAATCTGTGTTATCTAATGAGCTAAGCTGATTTCAGTTAAGAACTGATATCATAGCACTCAGGACATACCCATAAGTGCTTCATCCCCATCTTCAGCAGCCAGACCAGAGTTCCATTTCCAATGGCTCTAGTAGCAGTCTGATTGTATGTCTATGTTGCCTTTCCCCTAAGTTTTAAGTATTGACATATCCTCTGGTCACTTCTCATTGCATCGTTCTCTTCAGACTGTTGTTTAATATTACGCCATAATTACTGATACATCAATAACTCAAAATCTAAGAATAACATAGATTAAGCTAATTTATACCTGTAGAAAGTTTAATGCCTGGGAACCCATGCCAGGGTATCTTTCTTCTAATGGTTCCTTGTAAACAATAAATTTAAAAAAATTATAAGCACATTTATGAATTCTAGAGAAAAAAAAAGGTCATTACACACAAAGATATGGTAATGAGAGTCACACCATGGAACAGACAAGGGCCAAACCACATTATATTCTCCAAAAATAGCAGCGACTGCATAGCATTAACCTCCATTATGGAGACAGCACACAGTTTGTGAGCCGAAGTAGCCTAGTAGCTAGATGCATGCCTGCAGCCCAAAAGATCTGGAGTCCATTACACACTGAAGTGGATTTTTTGGGTTCAAATTTAAGCTTGGCTCCCAGGTCAACCTGTCTTAAAATAAACTAAAGTGGAGGGACTTCACTGCACTGACATCCCTGTGTGGGTTCAGGGGCCCCATGGTGGTGGGAAACAAGACCAGTCCCAATGCCTCCTGAATGAGCACATCATAAGAGATGACTAATTAGGGGCTTAGTTCAAAGTCAGAGTGCACCTGCCTGAAAGGCAAGCAACCAACAGCCTGTGTACAAATTAGCCAGATCTGTAAAACTGATGTGCACATAAAATTCAAGTACTGGAATAAGACTAAAATCAGGAGCTAGACAAACAACCAAAACTTTGTCACACAGTTTACAGACTGTGAATATGAAGAAGACTACACTGGGTTTTATCCCACATGGCTAAGTCTCTCTCCACAGAATGGCTAGCCGTCTGCTAACATCGTGGCACAAAAACCAACTCCTTAGCTCCAGTGATGATCCCCAGGGTTCTCCATGAAACTGGCACTTGAAAATCAAATGACACAGCCATGAATCAAACCCATGACCTTCTGAGCGCAAGGCAAACAGTTCCTTATACAATTTACTTTTAACTGACTCCTAAACATGTGCATTTAAATAATAGCTTAGAACCAAATCTGGACAGTAATAAATGATATAATTCCACTCAAACATTCACACATAACTACAAAACTGCATTCCATGAATAATGCTTCAACTTCAGTTTTGCAAGACTACTTTTTATTTTCCTTCACTTATTTTTTATTATACAGAGCTAATCTGATTATCCCAGCATGTACTGGGAAGCATTCATAGATACAAAGGAAAGAATCAAAGCATATATACTCTATACAAGATACAAATCAAAAGCTATAGATATTATACCAAGAGATGTATCTGTTCCTTCCAGATGATGATATGATATCAGTGCCTGGTTTCAGGAACAAGTGTGTTAGAATTAATAAAACTAGACACTGTAAGGATGTGAAATCCTAAGAAACATTTATCCTGAAATGAGATGCTGTCATCATTTGGATGTGACAAGTTTGTTTCATATTTTGTTAACTATAGCTTTTGATTTGCATTGTCTAGTGTGTCTTTCTTTTTATACTTGTTTAATTTGCATCTATGAGTGTTTATCAATATATGGCAATTTGTCTCACATGTTGTTTCAATGTCCTCTAGGGTTCTGTATTTCAAATTCAAGGATCATGAGAATGATAAGGCAGCAATAAAAGCAAGAAGAAATTCCAATATAGAAGTTGGACAAATCTGCATCAGTGAGTTTCAGCTCTCGGTACCAAGGAAGCTGTTACTTTGAGTCTATATATTTTGAGGAGTTGAGCTTAAAAGCAGTAAATACTTAGATCTGATAAAGTTCAAAAGAGTAACTTTGGGACAAAAGAAGTAAAACTAATAATTCAGTAACATGTGTGTGAGTACAGATAGCAAGAACGTCACATACTTTTGTAAACACTAAGAAATACGGCTGGTGGGTTGGTAATGAAAGAGTTAGAGAAAGAACAATTAATATATAATTGGCACCTTTCCGTCTTTCCAGACGATTGTGTTAAATTGCGCTATGATGAGGCATGATACTCACAGCCCATGGCGATAGTTAGTGTGACTAGCAAGACCCGCTCATGCTAAGAAAAGTCCTCCACAATGAAAGCACAGGATTTAAGGACCATTGTTGTCATCTATTGTGTTTAATCTGTTTCTTTTCAGACGCTCAGCTCTCATCCTTTCTGCAATCATTTCTTCCTTCAGTCTCATTCCCTTCCTGATATGCCCTTTCCACACAACACGGTCCATGGCATTTTGGTCCCATGAGTCCACTTTAATATCTGTATCATTCAAGTCCCGCTTGCACACATCTTTATACCATAGTAGAGGTCGGCCTTGACATCTTCTTCCTGTCTTTAATTCACCACAAAGGATGTCCTTAGGGACTCTTCCATCCTCCATTCTCCAGGTGTGACCCAGCCAACTGAACCTTCATAGACAGCATGGAAAAGACTGTTGTAGTACCTGCTCTTTCCAGTACCTCAGTGTTTGTGATTTTGTCGTGCAACTTAGTGCCAAGTATTCTTCTTAGGCATCACATGTGAAAGCTATTTAGCCGTCTCTACTGGTGCAAATAGGTTGACGAAGTTTCACTGCCATCAAGCAGAGTGCTGAGAACACAAGCCCGATAGACAAGGGTTTTTGTTTTAATTGTGAGCTTTCTGTTCTCCCACACTCTGTTTGTCAATCTGCTCATTGTTGTTGCTGCCTTACCTATCCTGATGTTGATTTCTTGGTCCAGCGATAGATTACTATTCACTGTGGAACCTAGATTGGTAAAATGGTCTACTGTCTCAAGCTCTTCAACGTCAATATAGACTGTAGGTCTGTCATTAACACCTTGCACCATAACCTTTGTCCTCTTTTCGCTGACTGTTAAGTCTAAATTCACAGCATGCATCAGCAAAAGCAGATAGTAAACATTGCAGCTCTTCCTCTGAGTGGCATCATTTGCATCAGCAGCACTCTGATAAGTACCTTTCTTATTTTCGTTTTGGCCTTTAGCTTGCGAGCATTGTAAAGGCTGCCATCAGATCAAGAATGAATGAATATACCACCTTCCTGATCTCGAAATGCATGTGTCAAAAGAAGTGAAAAGTATACTCCAAAGAGGGTAGAAGCAAGTCACACCCCCGCTTCACTCCATTTTTTATTACAAACTCCTTCGATGTTAAACCATTAAAGTTGATTGTACCTTTCATACCTGTGCTGTGTAGAACAACTTAATAATGCTCAGTAGAGTAGGTGGACACCCAATATTCTTCAGTGTGTTAAACAGACCTTTTCCACTAACCAAATCAAATGCCTTGGTAATTAATAAATAAATAAATAAATAATATATATATATATATATATATATATATATATATATATATATATATATATATATATATATATATATATATATATATATATGTGTATATATATATATATATATATATATATATATATCTCTATATCTTTGTCTGTGTGTGTGTGTGTGTGCGTGTGTGTGTATATATATGTGTGTGTATATATGTATATATATATATATATATATATATATATATATATATATATATATATATATATATATATATATATATATATATATATATATATATATATATATATATATATATATATATACACACACACACACACACACACATATTTTTTTTTATTGAAAACCCAAGACTGACATCAACAAGATTTTACTTCAACCAAACCTACCAGTCTGTCTGGCTCAGGTATGCTCATGCCTTTGAAGAAAGCATTGTTGGAGAAAATCTCCAGATGTCTGGATATGAGATCACCTACACAAAAATAGAAACATTCATGTCACGTTTTCTGTCATATAAAGCAATATTTCTCACTTAAGAGCAACAACTATTCTTCATCTTCTTCAGCATTCTAAGCCCTTGAGGTTCATTGCTGCAGATATCACCCGCCTCCATTCATCTCTCTGGTTGGCCTTCTCTTACCAGTTGGTAACACTGAGTGTTTGCAGGTCTGTCTGGACATTATCTCTCTATCTGTCTTCTTGGTCTGCAACGTGGTTTACCACCATTCAGCTTCCTTGAGTATACAGTTTTTACCTCTCTGTCACCTGACATTTTTCAATGTGCCTCAGCCATATCGGTCTATTAGTTCTCATGATCATCCATGATACCAGAGTAACAGCTGTTCTTTACCAAAATGTTGATAATTAAATAGATAATCCCCTTATATGAGTTCTGGGCACCAACCATTTTGTGAAAGGTAACTACTCAGGGGTTCGCTAATTGGATATGTTTGTTCGAAAGGTGTAGATGTTGCAATCTAGCTGTAAACCACATCATAATATGTCAATGCCTCTTTAAGTGTGAATGCAGAATAAGAAGAAAAAAAAAGAACCAAGGAGTGTTACCAGATAGCTATATTCCATGTACAATATATAGGTATCTGGTCTGTTTTTATAATGTACAGTGTTGTTCCTATATTGTACAGTGTTGTTCCTATATTGTTTAGTGTTGTTCCTATATTGTACAGTGTTTTGTTTCTACATTGTACAGTGTTGTTCTTATATTGTACAGTGTTGTTCTTATATTGTACAGTGTTGTGCAAGGTCTTATAAGGTCTTAAATACTGTTGTTCTTGATGGACAAACCTGCCTAGCATCCACATGATACTGAAGAATTATCAGCTGTGTTGGGCTGGTCACCCAACCCTCATGCCAGAATATCGGCTCCTAAAGAGAGTATTTTATGGCGGGTTCCAGCAAGGGAAGAGGTCCCAGGGAAGACAGAAAAAGCGTTATAAGAATATTCTCAAGACTACTCTCAATTCTTTTCGTATCAACACAGCAACATGGGAGGCTGCTGCCCAAGACTGTTCTGGATGGCGTACATCCCAGAAAAGGTTGCCCAGGCAGAGAAATGGAGGCAGACTAGAAAGAATTGTACTGCTAATCCCACACTTACTGCAGCTTCCATCTGTTATCCATACTGCTCAAGAACTTTCCAGGCTCATACTGGACTAATCAGCCACCTTTGTAGTCATAATCACTTATCATTACTACTTTGGATGAAAACTTTTCTTCATCACTTGTGATGGACGAACAACAACAGCAAGGTCATGACATACTTTAGGTCATTATGTGAGGTGAGGAGAACAGCTTCCTCTATCAGAGTCTTTTGTTCCCAGACAATCTGATTGTTCAAAACAAAACTCTGATATTTGTTTATAGAAAACAACCCCCTGAGGGTTAGTGGGTCTAATATTTGGGGGAAAAGAGATCTACTTCCCCTTAACATGTCATAGAAGGCCCAAATTAAGATTTTGCTGAAATCAGATGTGTTGATCGAAAAAGATATTGCAGCCTAGCTGTAAACCACAAAACAAAAAACTAAACATCTTTTTAATGACAAATAAAGAAGACAGAATACAAAGTCTAAGCAAACTCAGCTTTTACAAAATTCTTTCTTGCACTCCGATATAATTTATCTTTGCTATACATTTGGTTTACTCAAAAAAGACTTAACATGTTTGAAAAATAAAATAGTAAAAAATGCTCCCAACAGCTATAAACTTAAATTTATAATTTCATTCTAATTTAATTTTTTTTCCCTCTGTCACAAGGCATACATCTTTCTAATTTTCTTCCATTTCTCTAAGTTTTTAATTAGTATAAAACTTTGTTGTCATCCCCACGAATGTCTAGATTTCAAGATGAGCCACAATCCCCGTCACTCACTCACTGTATGACTCCTTTAACTGGCAACAGCAAACGTAATAGAACTACAATGTTGTTTCCAAGAGCAGATAACCTAGTTGTATCTGTCTGCTTTTCCTCTCCAAGCTAACCTGAATGTTTCATCACACTTGTTTCCCTCAAAGTCGGAGTACATCTGCCATGTGGCAGGGAACGGCAAAAGCTAGTAAAACGGTTGTACACACAAAACTCAAGTCTAGGTAAAAGCTAAAAGTCCAAATGGACGATCTACCGTGACCGAAATTCACAGCCTGTGAACGAAGAAGAAGAAGAAGAAAAAGAAGAAGATCACTCTTGCAACTCACAGTCGCATACTAGATGTACTCCAACATGGTATATCCAAGATACCCTATTCATTCTCTTGGGAAGTTATAATTATGGCAGAAATAACAACCACATCAAACACTAGCCTAGTGTAACCTTAACTTTTTTTTTTCAGATGAGTATAGAGGTGTGCGAACAGTAAAAAAACATGTACCTAATGTTTTACGAATGAGGTAGAGCTGGTCAACATCAGACCTGCCGGGCCATATAGCCTGGCCTGTCAAGAGTTCAGCAAATACACAGCCAATTGCCCAAACATCCACAGGAGGTCCATACTGAGTATCTCCAACCAGCAGTTCAGGAGATCGATACCAACGAGTTGCCACGTAATCTGTATATTCACCACCTGGGCCAGCTGCAAAAGGCAAATTAAAGTTCAACAGTCATGATATACAGAGTTTATCAGCATTTTTTTTTCCATTAAAATCCTTACATGATGATTTAATTATATACAACTGACACTTGTATATAAAAGTAACCACATATTTAAGTCCCCTATCTGGGCGCCATTTTGGAGAAAAAATAACAGACTCATTGCACCTCCTAACAAGCATGTCATAAAAGTCTACAAGTCAGGGCTGTGTCCTTCACAGTAGGAGTGCATTCGTCTGACAAGCAAGGAATTAGTAGTCTTCATACAAAGAAGCCAGATCTCTAAAATGGTTGTGCATGCAAATCTCAAGTTCTAAAACAAAACCAAAGTCCAGAAATGGGCAAAAATAACAGAATTTTCAACTGGAGGTTACAGTTGGTAAAGGCGAAGAAGGAGAAAAAGAAGAAGAAGAACACTCTCAATATGGATAAATTCATCTCACTGAGTCCCATGAGCTGCACACTGTGGCTCGAACAACATCCACCAATGAAATAATGAGACTCATTTTATTATGGCCAAGACAAAATATCTTCATCCATGAAGCAAAGCCCATAATTATCTATGATTTAGCAACACTGAAACACCACCCAATAAATAGATGACAAGTTAACTGGTCACTTTATTTACCCAGAGGGAGGTGTGTAGTTACAGGCAACGTGCAACATAGGGCAAACAATAAATTCTGTTTACTAAGAAAAAGTGCTACTGAGACGCTGAACTGGTGAAACAAGTTTATTGGAAACACTGTTTATCTAGTGCACAGATGTTTAGGTGGTATTCATGATTCAGCAACAACGACTGAAGATAAATTTAGGCTGAGACATGCAATTTGTAGCTTGGCTATCATCTGTTACATTGCAATGCCTAGTGGCACAAAGCAGATACTAGAAAAATAAGAAAGACTCATGAAATGAACCCAAACCATAAAATATGAGAGTAAAGCAAACACAAGAACCCAAAAACATGGCAAGCCGGAGATAGAACACACAGCTCTACACAGTTAGGAACAGAGAACATCAAATGAAAATCCTATCATGAGTTATAATCTAATGAATATGGATAACCACTCAACCATAAAAACACAGTTTGCTTGAAAAGAATCTCTTGAAACTATTAAACAAATTCTGAAAACTATTGACAGCAAAAGGCAACAATGCCCTACTTTGTACACTGGAAGTTGCTGCCCAACGCTCCATATTGTTTTCAGAACAAGTGAGGCAGAAGTTACTTTTGTTAAATAGGATAAAAGAATTTGTAAGCATGTTTAAAATCAGTAAGATCTAATGTTAAAAAATGCAATCAATCACCTGACCTATAAAATGTTTCACAGTCAAAATATGTAACTTTTTTGTTTGTTTTTGGTCATAGAGTTGTAAACTTACTAAAGGAGCAGAACAAAAAGATAACTAAGTAAACACTAAATTGAACAGAATAGCAAGTAGACACCAAAGTAAACTGTAAATACACACCAAGGAAAACAGATCAGTTCACACTGAGGTGAACAGATAAGTACACACTCAAGTTAACAGATATGTAAATACATACTAAGATTAGGAAGTCAGTACATATTAATGTGAACAGAAAAGTACACACTAAAGTAAACAGATAAGTAAATATATGCTTAGGTGAACAGATAAGTACATAAAAGTAAACAGATCAGTAGATATTCAAGTGATCGATAAGTTCACACTCAAGTAAACAGATAAGCATACATTACAGTGAACAGAAAAGTATACATTAAAATGAAAAGATAAGTATACATTGAAGTAAACAGATCAGTTCACATTAATGTGAACAGATTATATAACAAAGTGAAAGATAAGTATACAGTAAAGTGAACTGATAAGTAGAACACACGTAAATCAACAAATCAGTAAATACACACTAAGGTGAACAGATCAGTAAATACACACTACAGTGAACAGATCAGTAAATACACACTACAGTGAACAGATCAGTAAACACACACTACAGTGAACAGATCAGTAAACATACACTACAGTGAACAGATCAGTAAACATACACTACAGTGAACAGATCAGTAAACACACACTACAGTGAACAGATCAGTAAATACACACTACAGTGAACAGATCAGTAAACACACACTACAGTGAACAGATCAGTAAATACACACTACAGTGAACAGATCAGTAAACAGATGCAGTAAACATACACTACAGTGAACAGATCAGTAAATACACACTACAGTGAACAGATCAGTAAATACACACTACAGTATCAGTAATACACACTACAGTGAACAGATCAGTACACTACATACAGTGAACAGATCAGTAAATATACACTACTACAGTGAAACAGATCAGTAAATACACACTACAGTGAACAGATCAGTAAATACACACTACAGTAAACAGATCAGTAAATACACACTACAGTGAACAGATCAGTAAATACACACTACAGTGAACAGATCAGTAAATACACACTACAGTGAACAGATCAGTAAATACACACTACAGTGAACAGATCAGTAATAAACACACTACAGTGAACAGATCAGTAAATACACACTACAGTGAACAGATCAGTAAATACACACTACAGTGAACAGATCAGTAAATACACACTACAGTGAACAGATCAGTAAATACACACTACAGTGAACAGATCAGTAAATACACACTACAGTGAACAGATCAGTAAATACAATACAGTGAACAGATCAGTAAATACACACTACAGTGAACAGTGAACAGATCAGTAAATACATCACTACAGTGAACAGATCAGTAAATACACACTACAGTGAACAGATCAGAGTAAAACACACTACAGTGAACAGTGACACACATACAGTGAACAGATCAGTAAATACACACTACAGTAAACAGATCAGTAAATACACACTACAGTGAACAGATCAGTAAATACACACTACAGTGAACAGATCAGTAAACACACACTACAGTAAAATACACACACAGTAAATACACACTACAGTGAACAGATCAGTAAATACACACTACAGTGAACAGATCAGTAAATAAACACACACTACAGATGAACAGATCAGTAAATACACACTACAGTGAACAGATCAGTAAATACACACTACAGTGAACAGATCAGTAAATACACACTACAGTGAACAGATCAGTAAATACACACTACAGTGAACAGATCAGTAAATACACACTACAGTGAACAGATCAGTAAATACACACTACAGTGAACAGATCAGTAAATACACACTACAGTGAACAGATCAGTAAATACACACTACAGTGAACAGATCAGTAAATACACACTACAGTGAACAGATCAGTAAATACACACTACAGTGAACAGATCAGTAAATACACACTACAGTGAACAGATCAGTAAATATACACATCTACAGTGAACAGATCAGTAAAAACACACTACAGTGAACAGATCAGTAAATACACACTACAGTGAACAGAACAGATCAGTAAATACACACTACAGTGAACAGATCAGTAAATACACACTACAGTGAACAACAGATCAGTAAATACACACTACAGTGAACAGATCAGTAAATACACACTACAGTGAACAGATCAGTAAATACACACTACAGTGAAACAGATCAGTAAATACCACACTACAGTAGTAAATACACACTACAGTGAACAGATCAGTAAAACACACTACTACAGTGAACAGATCAGTAAATACACACTACAGTAAACAGATCAGTAAATACACACTACAGTGAACAGATCAGTAAATACACACACTACAGGGAACAGATCAGTAAATACACACTACAGTACAAACAGATCAGTAAATACACACTAAGTGAAACAGATCAGTAAATACACACTACAGTGAACAGATCAGTAAATACACACTACAGTGAACAGATCAGTAAATACACACTACAGTGAACAGATCAGTAAATACACACTACAGTAAACAGATCAGTAAATACACACTACAGTGAACAGATCAGTAAATACACACTACAGTGAACAGATCAGTAAATACACACTACAGTGAACAGATCAGTAAATACACACTACAGTGAACAGATCAGTAAATACACACTACAGTGAACAGATCAGTAAATACACACTACAGTGAACAGATCAGTAAATACACACTACAGTGAACAGATCAGTAAATACACACTACAGTAAACAGATCAGTAAATACACACTACAGTGAACAGATCAGTAAATACACACTACAGTGAACAGATCAGTAAATACACACTACAGTGAACAGATCAGTAAATACACACTACAGTGAACAGATCAGTAAATACACACTACAGTGAACAGATCAGTAAATACACACTACAGTAAATACACACTACAGTGAACAGATCAGTAAATACACACTACAGTGAACAGATCAGTAAATACACACTACAGTGAACAGATCAGTAAACACACACTACAGTGAACAGATCAGTAAATACACACTACAGTGAACAGATCAGTAAATACACACTAAAGTGAACTGATCAGTAAATACACACTACAGTGAACAGATCAGTAAACACACAATAAGAAGGTGCAGTCATCATCAAACAATAAGTCTTTAACAGTGTCTGGTTTAAAACCTTGGTTAAAGGTTAAATAGTTGGCAATCAACACAATATCTGATGTGATACCTATGGCTCTATTTCTGAAGGCATCGATTAGCAGAGAACGTCATGCTGAACAGTGTCAGTGCAAGCACATAACTATACTTTACTCCCACTGATGTCAGAAAATGCTTAGAGAGCTGAATATTATTCTGAACTTTTGCTTGTGTGACCTCATGAATTTGTCAAACAATTTTAATAAACTTCTCGAGTCAACCATATTTTGCACAATCTTCTATAAAGTCTCCATTTACTGTATCAAAGGCCTTTATCAGAGAGATGAATCCATAGAACAGGTGCATATTTTATTCCTGACATTGTCTTGCAGCAAATATCATGCTGATTGTGCTCCAAACTCTTCAGAAGCTACATGAGCTCTCCTGCAGCAGATCTTAAAGAAAATATACACTAACGTGAACAGTTCAGTAAATACAGACTATAGTGAACAAACAAAAAAACAGAAATAATTAAACAAAGATACTCACTAAGAACTCTTGCAAATCCAAAGTCACATAATTTTACTTGACCTTGCCTTGTTATTAAAATATTTTCAGGTTTTACATCTCTGTGGATTGTCTGTATAACACAATAAAAGGGTCTTGATTATTTTTATTATTATTAGAACAACATAAGTAATGACACCATATGTTAAACATATCAGAGCATGTATAACACAATCATATGCACAAAAGAGCTGACAAGAACATGACTAGTAACAAATCAACTTCAAACCCTTGTAAACAGAAGACAACAGTGCTGTCTGTCATACATAATAATATTATTTTCTGGATTGCAAGAAATATGAACCCCAAAGGACAACCATAAGTAAATAAATGACCCACTGCAAAAACCTCTGGCAACATTAAAACATCTCTAGAGAGCTACAGAAACAGATTCAAGAGTGCATCAAAAGAATCAAAATGTGTTATTTCTGTATTAATATCATAAAGCAAAATAATAAACCAGATCACTCTAAATATAACCATACATAAATATTACAATCTGATTATCCCAGTTATTTGAAAGTACACTTATTGTTACATTTGACTGTAGTTTTTCTTGTTAGTCTTTCCTCTTGGACCTAGGGTGGCGCATAGGGCAGTAGTCATAACTCTCCATGTCTGGCGGCTCTCTTGTCACTTTACAATATTTCCCTCACTAAAATTGTGACAGACTATTGATTGCCTCTCTCCTCTTCTCGTGAAATCTGAGGCATGTTTCACTATTTGTTTGTCCTCTCTATCCTCAAACACACACACACATATCAACCACATACACATAAATTAGGGAATAAATATTGTAACCACATTCTGTAACCACATCCCAATTTTAAAATGAAACAAATGTAGGAAAACTGATCGTCTTACACATGGGAACATACAGTATGTTAGGGGGGACATAGAAAAGCTGCAGCAAACAGTAACAGACAGATGGACTTGGCATGCATTCACTAAAGGCCTAAGCTCCAATGGGAGATAAGCTGGAGAAAAGAGTTTGATCTAGTCATAAACCTTGTATACTCTCCAATAAAGTAGCCACAAAAAAAAACAATGTTTTAACAATTAAAAAGTGTATACATTAAACAGGAAAGACCAACAGCAGACAGTAATTGCTTACATTGTGTTGATGACAGAAATTAACTGCCAACAATGTTTGGTAGATTATCCTCTGAACCATTCTTTCTGGAACCCTGTGAACAAATATTCAAACAGGCAAACTGATTTTTTTTTTGGGTAAACTTATTTGCAAGTTTATTTTCAGGAGTGCTGAAATCAAACAAAGCTGCCAGTTATAAGATCTACTCTTCTTCTTCTTCTTCTCTTCCTCCAGTTACATCATCAAAGTGTTGGGGGAAGATGAGTTACTATTCTGTGTGCTCTTTCTTAATGTCTTTTATAAGTTGAGTTACTATTCTGTGTGCTCTTTCTTAATGTCTTTTATAAGTGACCTTCATATACTGAATGCTGTATTGATGCCATCATTCAATTTTTGTGAGGTCTCCCTCCTTGCTCCGTATTCATTATATTTCTTCAACAGGCTTTCTGTGACAACTGGTACCAGTGTATTCTCATCAGATGGGCACACCATTTCATTGTCTGCTCCTCTGTGTGCTCTTTCTTAATGTCTTTTATAAGTGACCTTCATATACTGAATGCTGTATTGATGCCATCATTCAATTTTTGTGAGGTCTCCCTCCTTGCTCCGTATTCATTATATTTCTTCAACAGGCTTTCTGTGACAACTGGTACCAGTGTATTCTCATCAGATGGGCACACCATTTCATTGTCTGCTCCTCAATTAACTTTATGACTGCTTTCAATCCTAGTCTTTTTCAAATGTATACACTTTTGATTTTATCTCTTCTTTTTCTACCCCTGATCTCTTCTAAGATATCTCATCTCTGTTGTCATTTTATTTTGTGCTCATTAATTGTAGTGAGGATCCATGTTTCACACTGGTAACATAAAGTTGGCCCTAAAAAATAGTTTTTATTGGACTTACCTTTGATAAACAAAGGCATCCCTGTATGCACATCTTTAATTACTACTACAAACCTCATTTCCTGCTTTTCATTTCCACCCCTTTGGTAGTAATTTTTTTTTTTATTAGTTGCATATCCCCAACAGGATGTTACAGAACCAACCTCATTATTTTTTTGCTGTTGTGGTTTTTCTAGGCAAATTTACATTTAGAAGTTTGTCATTGCTTTCTGGATGGTTGACTTCTCAATACCACTGTTGAAACAAACGCAAGGAGCAAGGCCTACAGCTGGGACCAAACCTGGCAACATGAAGAGCGTTCACAATGCCTAAGCCACAGATGCCAACCTTTAGTAGTCTGCCATGACCTTATTTTTTACTTTAAATTAACTCTTTCAGGCCATGAATTTTGACAGACTTGGCCCACATTAATTTCCCTTTACAAACATGGCCGAGGGGTGGGTGTACGAAAACGGCAATAGAGAATGTAATATACTTCTAATCCCAATAAAAGTTTATATTTTTTTAAAGAGAAATGAATGTACATTTTGAATCTGATGATAATTATATGTTTAATTTGTTTATAGTTAGTAGGAAAGAAGAATTCAGCAGGTGTTAATTTCACAACAACAACATTTTACAAACAAATTCTTCACATACCATGATTTTGCAGCCACAAGAGTAGTGAATATCCAAATTTGAGAACAAAACTTCAATTTCCTAACAAATTCTAAAGTTATGATAAGCTTCTCTGTTAGTTTAGCACTCAGGGGCTCTTAGTTCTTACAAAGTGATGAGCAAAATTTCAGAGAAAAAATGACAGAAAAATGAGCCATTACACACACTATTTACTATTTACTTTGTACAGTTATATACAGACTGTAGCTGCGATGATTTAAGTGTAGCTTAGCCATAGTATAGTACAATCTCTTGGTTTAGAGCACTTTCCTCCTCTTACACCATAAATACGGTAGCACTGGGACATTGTCAGTGTAATAAACTCATCAGAATCGCTAGACTCCGAACAGCTGATCGCTCAGCTTCTCTGGTGAAAATTCACCATCCGAATCACTTTCCGAAAAATCTAAATTTTTATTATCATTATCAGAATTAAAAATATCTGACTGAAACAATTTCAGAGCTTCGGCCTCAGAAAGACGCATTCTGTGACCTGTACTTGTGGTTGGAATATTGGTTTTCATGGCCCTCAAAAACAAACTTAGAAAATGCACTGTTTAAAAAAATTTGCTGTGAATCTGATAAAATTATGCACTCATGGCTTCTAATAGGGAATGTAGCTGAAAGAATTTGGACAGAGTGACTTTCCCTGAATAGTTTAATCGTACTTCCAAACATTAGAAACAAGTACAGAGCCGTGTGCGAAGCAAAATGAACCTGACACACGATCGATGATGACAGTGTTGTTTGGGCAAAACGGAACTTCTCAATCTAAGCTCACACCGTTGCTCTGGCCTTAAAGAGTTAAGAAAGATGTGAATTGTTAAGATTTACTGTCAGTTTTAAACAAAATATGTCAGAAATGTGTACTGACTACAAGACACTTACCCTCGTGGGTATCTATCCAATTCATTCAGAACTGTGTGATCTACATACTCAAAAACCAGATGCAGCCGCTTCCTTCGCCGGAAAACTTCTATCAAATTGACTAAATTTGGATGTTTTAGTTGCTGTGAAAGAAACAGTGCACATGTTACAATATGTCTTTCAGAAAAACATAATTTTTTTTGAGCTCATTTAGTTTAATAATATTATATTGTTTGGTTTAATGATTATAATGCTACTTGAAGTTGACAACAGCTTTTAAAATATTAGATTCACAGTATTACCTATCACTTATAATGAGTTGCGGAAGCATTTATGCTTTTGAATTTCTGCATGCCATTTACTTTGATACATTATTTTCAAACAAAGAACTGTTATATGTCACTCATAGATACAAGCAGTTATACCCCTGTAGACATGTTTTTTTTTCATATGTACTGACCATTAAATTAGTCAGCATCCTTTGAATATTTTCTCCAGATTATGTAGTGTGTTGGGAAATGAGCAGGCCAGTTCTGCACCACTTGGTATTAAACTGATGAATGACAAGCTAGATGTTGTCAGGGTCCTTTGGGAGGGAGTGTACAGTGCACAGGCACAAACAGATCACTAAGGTCTGGGGAAAATGGCACTGAGAGGATTTACCAGGGGATCTGGTCGACACTTAACACTCAAGGGAAAGGCAAGACAGATATACAACCAGACAGCTACTGGTGCCATTGGAATCGGAACTCTTTGCTTGCTGTTGAAGATGGGGTTGGATCATTTATGGGAGTGTCCTGAGTGCTGTAATGTCAATTCATTATTCACCATTGACCATTAAAGTCTTCTAAGCTCAAATATTGATTTGACTGGCATGAATCTGCAAACATGCTTACTAGTGACAGAACACTAGCCCACTGTGTAACATAAAAACCAAGAAACTACACAACTTCCCATCTCTGGTAATGTAAGGAGATGGGCATGGAAAGTTAGATAAGCTGGAACTTGCATGAGTATAACTTTCAAACTATATTAGAAAGAAAACAACTGAGTCAGTTAGTTGTTTTCCAGTCAGGCTGCTGAGGCACACTGGCTAATCATGGTCACATCTGTTGAATTGATTCCAGAGTGTGAGACCTAAAAGTGAGTGGGGCAAATGATAACAGGTGTATGAATCTTTCTGCCAATAATTAGGTCTGTTTCGGTCAGTCATTTAGGATTGTTTTAATGTGCCATAGAACACGTATCAGAAGCAAATTTATGCCAGACCAGCAGAGTGACAGCAGCAGATTGTTGTGGTGTACCTCAATGCGGCGTCAACAAAACTGAGGGTCAGCAAGGGATGTATAGAGCCAGGACTGTCCAGTGAGTTACCACTCGCAAGAGATGTTGCTCGTCTAGGCTGTGAACAAATCTCTTGTTTTAGGGCTGAATTTCAGCAGTACAGTAGTTCTTTTCACTCGACAGATGTTTTAACTGAGGGTTGTCATTTAGTAGTATGTTCGGCTAGAGAACTTACCCATGCACCAAATGAACTTTGACAGACATTTTCACCCATGCACTGAGGGTGGGAGGAATTGAGCAAAACTAGACACTACATTTCCAGAGGCCACCAACTCCAAGATTCCTTGCCAGCTTCGTTCAGATCACAAAGGTGAGCTCTTATCAGTGGCACACATCAGCAGTCTTGCATGAGGATCCGTATAACCATCCCAGAGCTGGCTCAAGCCCAAGGTAAGATACAGAGTAACTTTTTATAAACACCACAAAGGCTTTAACTTTCATTCACGCATGTGATCGACATCAAAGCGTCACTGTTGCATAAACAATTACTATTCCAAGAATCGTGCCAAGAAAACAAACCTACACTTCTGAAAAGTTATAACTGTCTTTTACTGCCCATAATATTCCACTTTTTTATGGTGAAGTAGGGCAGGCATGTCAAACATGCAGCCTGCAAGCATGTCAAACATGCAGCCTGCATGAAGATCTTTGCCAGCACACCTGCGGCCAGCACTAACAGAAATATTCTGTGAAAGTTTCACTAAATGACTGTAATTAGTTGTCATATGTGGCCCTCATGATGACACAAATGCGACCATATGACAGTCTGACATACCTGATGGCAGTCTGACATACCTGATGACAGTCTGACATACCTGATGTGGGGCAGAGGGATTACTTTTAGCCTTGGGATTTAAAGTTGAATTGGTAGTGTTGTCACTATGAGCTGTGCAAGTTTAGAATTTAGAGCTGATCCCAATAAAATAAAAATCCTATTACTGACAACATTATAACACATTTCCCAAAGTTGTATTGGTTACAAAAATAAACAAAACAGGTATGTATTACTTACCTTGAGCATTCTAATTTCTCTCATGGCAATTTTCTTTATTAATGGATCCTCCTCCGACTCAACAAATTTTTTAATTGCAACAACCTGTCCAGTCTCTCTGTTGCGACACTTGAAGACAACCCCGTATGATCCTTCTCCTATCTTGCTGATCTTCTCATATTTCTCCATCTTTTCTGCAGATCCACCACTATTAAAGTAAGGTCCCTGATAATGACCTCCAGTCTGATCTTTTCTTGGACTGCGTAAACACAATATTAATTTTATTTTAGAATGTTTCTCCTATGAAGTTACTACATTTTGCAAATTTATTGTAGTTATTTGGCTGAATGGTCTCAGGGCATGGCATCTGCCTCAAGCGCGAGAGGTCCCAGGCCCTGGTGAAGGCTGGGATTTTTTTCACGTGGACTTAGGTTGAAAATGTGTATTATTGCGCATGTAAAAAAAATCCCTTGTCAGTTGGAAATCAAAATGAGTTAATTTAATATGGTAAAAAAAAACTTATGATATAAAAAGATTAAGCAATTAAATCACTCTTATAGATTTATTATGTGAAATTTAGAAGATTTCATAACAATGTTATCTCTTTATATCAGGCTATCAGTTGAGGTTCCAACTTCATCACAAACGAGTCACCCCATAATTGTTCGAATCCCGTGCTATAAAATGCTCATTGCTCTCCCATGTAAAAAATCACACAGACAGCAGTGCCAATACTATTTGATTAATTTTTTCGCACAAAGTCAAATAATAAGAATGCATTTTGTCTTTAAATAATGTATCAAGTTTGAACTGTAACAATTTAGGCTATTAGTAATTTTTTTAAAGTATTTTATTAAGTTTATGTATACATTTTCTGCTTATGTTTCTTTCATTTTACACCTTATTAAAGCACTTAATATTGGTTTTCTGAAGCAGCATCCATACTAATTTTAGCTATGAGCCCCCACTGATCCAGAATGTGACTTCTAGTTGCAAGAGTTGGCAGTTAGTCTAGGAGGTAAGCTCTGACAGGCAGATTGATCATTGTTCTAATTTAGCTGCTTCTGCAACATTCTGTGTTTCAAACATGTGGGTATTAACTTTCATATGAAGGCAGTCCCAAAGTGAGAGAGAGAGAGAGAGAGAGAGAGAGAGAGAGAGAGAGAGAAGAGAGAGAGAGAGAGAGAGAAAGAATGAAAGAGAGGAGAGGAAAGGGGAGAGAGATACAGAAATAGAGTTCAAGTTGCATTGGTAACACAAAGTTTCTCCAATACTGGCCAGGGTTTGTGATATAGGGAAGAAGAACTTCATTAATGCCCTAAACCAGTGATTCCCAAACTGTGTGCCACTGCGCCCTGGGGAGCCACGACCTCACAGGGGAGCCACGACCTCACAGGGGAGCCACGACCTCACAGGGGAGCCACGACCTCACAGTGGCGCCATGAAATATTCAAAGATACACGAGATTTTTTTTTTTTTAATCTCTTATGTACGAATAGTTATACTTTTTTACTTAGGTTAGGGCGAATTTTAATTGAAAAAAGGCTCTGTGACTAAGAAAAGTTTGGGAAACCAGTAGGTGCACAAGCATTACTCATGCCTCTCTATAGCACAGTATTATCATCATCATCATGTAGCAGGTCCTTTGCAGAATGTCGCTCTTATCACGGTCTGCCTGAAAAAAAACTCAGTCTCTCGCCAGGTATCCAGCCTCACAGTATAGCACTGCCAATTACTGCCTTAATTTTACCATTTTTGAGCCTTAGGATTTACAGCAGCATGGTTAGTGCTGTCACCCCGACCTCAGTATACCACTATTGTCTGGAAAGATGGGATGGTGACAACCAACTAGCGGCAGCAGTGTTTAACCTGTGGATATTAGCCCAGCGGAGATCAACAGTCCTTCAGTCTTGACAGCATTGTGTGGTTGGCATGGAAACATTAGTACAGGAATTATTATTACATGTTGTTGCAGACAGCAAGATGTCCAGAAGTCTGATCATCCACGCTAGTCGACGAAGCACTTAATGAAGATGATGGAGGTGGTGGTGACTGAAAGCGTACTACATCATCAAACAGTACATACTTAATTGAGTCGCTCATTTCTGGCCATGCTCCAGGAGAAGGACATGGCAGGAATGTCGAGTTGTCTTGAGTCTTGTTTCATGAATTCACAATTTCAAGTTATGCCAAGTGGGCTAATCACTGGTGAAATCCATTCCTTTCCAATTAGCAATAGTTATCTATCTTAAACTACTGCACTTAAATGCTTATTGTTTTCTCTTTTCTTTGTGTAATTCTAAGTATATAACAACTACAACGAGTTTATAATTTAAATTGTAAAAATGTTACTACAAGCTAGTTTCACGTTTTGTCTAAAAATGCACAATAATATCTGTATATTTGCTTCTGTCAAATATATAAATCCTTCAGTAAGCAGTTGCAGACATCAGTCATTTTTAGTGTGCACAAATGAAGACTAGTTTTTGTCGAATGATCTTTTAAATAATGTATTAGATGGTAATTGTACTCCGGGTACAAGAATGTACCTTAGCATTTTAATGACCAAGGCAATCAGTTCCACTTGTTGTTGTTGAGCCTACAATATTACTACACGAACATCCTAACAACTCTATCTGCAACAAGTACAGACACATAGAATATCAAAGCATGTAATTTTTTTTTCTGTAGAAACATAACTATTACACATTCCACGAATTTTATTTCATATTTGTTGCTGTCAACCTCAGAACTATTTTTATTCGTGGCTGTAAACGTCTGTGTTATTTGTTCAAAGCTTTGTTGTAAAGGTCATCACCCTGACAACAAGTACCACGTGGTGTAAATAAAGGATTCAGCTACCTGAGCTACCTGCCAGGTGATCCTCAAGATTACATTTAGTGCTATAAAAATGAAGATCTTGCTTCCCATTCAAGCACATCGGCGACTGGGTCGCCCATTGGCTTGCCGGTGGACGATCTTGTCACTGGCCGGGAAAGTATCTATGTCTTTTTCTTTGATCGCATCAACATTGCAGAGGTCTTTTCAGGGTTTTTGGTAGTGTGAAATGCTATGCCATTTTATATGGTGCACATAACCTAGTCACAATTATAACCTAACGCTACCCCTTCTGGGATGCCGGTTAAACCTGACAAGTTTGTATTTTAACAAAGCAGCTTTCCGTTCAAGGGGAATGAAGAAAAACATTCACTGACAAAGATTGCCGCCAATGAGATTACGTCCTCTGTGCAAATGTTACTGGGATCTGTGTTTTAACTGCATTAATTTATCATCATCATCTTGTGCAGTGACGATAAAAATAGACAGTCACGTCTCGCCATCCCACATAGTCACCAGGAACGCGGATTAGGTCTGTGATATTGCCTTGCGTAATCATTATGACTATGCCATTCATGTTTATAACTCCATCTAATAACTCCATAATTCCATCTTCATGCTCTCTTCCATCAATCTCATTAGTCGTCCCCAAATGTTAGAGTCCATTCCTGCCAGGGCTGGATTTAGGCAACCTAGCCACGCTACAACTTAGGGCCTCACAATCTGAAGGGGACTAAGAGAATTTAAATTTTTACACAACTGCAATTTTCTTTTTTAAAAAATTTTCAATTTATCAATTGTCTACTTTTCTAATTCTTCTAATCTACTTCTTCTTCGCATTCGCCGACTGAAAACTCCGACGGAAAGTTCGGTCTGTTCATCCACCTCTAGCACTAACCGGTGAATAAGCAGCTATTTGACAGCAGAGAAACATTACCTACTTTAACAATCTTAATAACTTGAATTCACAATGTATTTCACTACTACAACTGGTTGCTGATTCTGCTCGTCTGACAATCTTCACTAGGAATAAATGTCACAACGGTCCACACATCGGATGTTGTTGCTTTCCTTTCTCATTAGTTCAACGGCTGTAAAGTCAGATGGAAAGTTTTGGCTGTTCGTCCACTTCTGAACTATAGTCCTGTTCCAGAACATGAGTGTTGCATGCACATCCGTTTTTACATATCTGACTTATCTGTATGCTGACTGTTGGTTCTTTGCCTCTCAGAAAAGATGTACTTCGACTTCTAAGGAAGCCCTTAATAAAACGACTCCTACGACATGCTTGTTAGGGAGGCAGTGGGTCTATTCTTGTTTTTCCAACAATGGGGCTACGGAGCCCACACTGAGATAATACTACTTTGGTTTTGGTATATTATCTGAGGTTTTGTTTATCATCACTTGTAGCCTATTTAAATGGGATAAAATAATCACCTTGATTTGAGTCACCTATCACCTTTTATTAATTTAAATATTTTAATATTTACTCAGATTACTCTTCTTCTTCTTCTTCTTCTTCGATCCTTCTGTCAGAAAACTTATACCAGGAAGCCGGTAGCCTTTATGAAAGCTATCGTGCAATCCATATCCTCTCGTGCACCATACAGTTTTGTCTTCAGTGTGGTTGGAACAGGCCAGATTGCGTCTCTGTTGTCAGCATACAGTTGACAGTGTTGGAGGACATGCTCAGCATTTTCGGGTGCCACGCTGCAGGAACACGTCTCCGTATTTCCTACACCGAAAAATTTGAACATATGTTGACGAAATCTGTTGTGCCCAGTCCTTAGTCTGAATATAATACACTGTCCCCCTCTAGAGAGGCGATGAAGTGAGTCTTGGGGAGAAAATCTGGTGTGGGTATCCAGCCACCTTTCTTGGATACTAGATTGTATTAATGTTTTCGTCTCTTGGTGGGTTAAGTCACTATTTGGTTGTACCATGTCACTGCCGCTTCTGGCCAATCTGTCCGCTATTTCATTGCCTTCCAAGCCACAGTGACCTGGAATCCAGTGCAGTACAGATTGTTCTACTAAAGAGCCTAAGTAAATCAGCTGTAGCGTCAAGTCTACAAACTGAGTGTCTTTTGGGTTAACAATTGCTTGTAGAACTGACATAGCATCAGTCAGAAAGACCACTCTGCTATATTTGCTGTGCTGTTGTCCATTCAGGAAAGAACATGCCGCTAGAAGTGCTTCTGCCTCTGCTCTGTAATTGGAGGAATATGAACCTGTTGGTACAGCCTGGTTGATTTTTAAACCATTTGGGCATTCTATGTATATTCCTCATCCTCCGTCTCTCACTGCTCTCTTGGCTGAACCATCTGTATACACTCGAATCCAACTCTGGTGTGGATAAAGTCTGTTGATCTCTCCTTCTGTAGTTGATTTCATATCAGTGCTGCTCATTGATGATTTGGAG